TTTCTTTCTTGGTATTTAGAGAGAGTGGGGGAAAGAGCTGACGTGCTCTTTTTGACACGATACTAAAACAACTAGTGGCAAGAACTGTCTTGAATTGAAGATAAAGCAACTTGGATGAGGCAACCTGGGTTTGTATCCAGGTCTGCCGCCGCTCACCACCTAGGTAATCTACCACCAACAGCCCTTTATGGCAAGCTCTCCATCCATAAAGCAGAAATATCTCAGACAGTGCCCTGCAGGAAGCCAGGCCTCATGGCCATCAGCTGTTTCACCACATCATGCACCCTGAAGGTCTTCAAGCTGGTCACTTTGTTGACTTATTGTAACAGAAAACCATGGTCAGAGAAGCCATCAGTCCATTAAGATTCTAAAGCTGTGCCTTCTCAAAATGATTAGTTTCCAGTTCCAAATAAAACTGCATGTGTAAAGTCATTCTAGAATCAAACAGTAACAAATACATACAAATAAGAGTCAAGGAAATTTGGAGAGTGACATAGTTCTGCATCCTCTGCCTCTCGGAAGTCTCCCTTGGGTTCTCTCCCTCCACCCTTCACACTTCTTCACGCTCTCATCTTGGGAGTGAGGTCCTTTAGGAAACTTCCTGCACTCCCAGTCTGAGCTGATTCATGACCCTCCCCACACCTGCAGCCTCCGAGGACAGGGCCAGGCAGAGGACAGGACTCTGCCTGTGGGCTTTTCACCCCCATGCACCACTGTAAGACCACTCAGGCCCAGAAGCAACATTGGGGGTTACGGGACCAATAGGAGACAGCATTTCTTAGGCTTTAGGTGGCCACCTCGCTCCCCCTGGATGCGTCTGCAGTGTCCAGAAGCCCCAAAGCACGCATGCAAGAAGGCACTGCCACGTCAACAGGCCTGAAGCTCACCGCAGCCGGCCAGCAGCGGGCCAGGGTCTAACTTACCACAGCAGGAGGTGCTCCAGGGAGGCCGCTGAGAAGACGCCACAGCAGCCCTGGCCAGTCTCGGTATCAGGACGGACAGCACCAGACGCTGGACCAGACAGCAATGCAGGAGCGGCCCTGGCCGGTGGTGCGAGACCATTCATAGCTCTTTGAGGTGACCTGGACACTGAGGCCGGTCACTTGTCCACAGTCAGGGCACTGCTGCCAGCGTGCCAGTCGGTGGTGGTGTCAGGGGCACAGCGCTGACAGCTCTTTGTGAGTGGTTGTCTCGCACCAAGAGCAAACAGCTCTGAGATACCAGGCCCCAGGCCTAGGGGTCCTTTCAGGCACACGGGAGGCAGGCCCAGGGCCAGCCTCTGGGACGGGCTTGGGCCTCTCCGTGAGGCCTTCGTCTTCTTTCCTGCTTGGGCCGTCACCGCGAAGGCCTCCTGCCTTCTTCCCTGAGGGTCAGGAGCAGCGTCCATCTCCAGCAGAGTGACCTGAGCCGTTGAGGCAAGTCCCAGCCGGCCCCAGAGAAGCCTGGGGCGCCCGCTGGCGTCTCCCGCTTTATATCCTGTCAGGGTCCTCCCCGCCCTCGCCTGTCTGACTGGACCGTTTCAGTCCCACCGCTCATTGGACCACTCACCAATCAGCTGACCGCTCGCACCTGACGGTCCATTCCACACTCCAGCCCAGATCCACAGCCCTTCACTGCCTGCAGCTGGAGGAGCCAGAGTGGAGCTGGCCCATGGAGGAGGGGCTGCAGGCCCTGGGGTGCCGTGCTAGGGAATCCCGGCTGTCCACCCTCACTATTGGCCTCTGCCAGCAGCCGGGGCCTGAGTGGGCAACAAAATGGCCACCAGGAAGCCCGCCGGCAGCACCCTGGGGCCTAGTGCCAACCCCCAGGAGTGGGTGGGCTCCAGGTTCTTACCACTTTCTTTTTCTTCTTTCCTATTTTGACATTTTAAAAGGTCTGGTTCACTGGAAAGGAGAAAGAAGACCTGGCTAGGTGCAGGTGAACCGAGAGGCGCCGAGGCCGCTGCTGCTGTGGAAAGGGAGGGGTTTGTCAGGCGGCATCTGGGACGGCCTGGCCAGTGCACACCTGTGCGGCCGGGGTGACGACCTTGAAGGCTCTGTGGCCAGACGCGGCCCCCAGACTGCCAGATCAAGTCCTGCCAGCCTCGGTGACCGCTGCCCGTTGACCGACGCCCTTGCTGTAGCCGCCCTCCCTCACCTGGTCCCCGCGCGGGCGGCCTGTGCCGTGAGCGGCTCCCCACACACCCGGCCCAGCCTGCCAAGTCACTCAGCCCTGACAGCCCAGCTTGTAGCGGCTGGCACTGCGGGACAGGAGAGGCTGCGAGAGACAGGCGGCGTGTCTTGGGTGTTATCATTTTGGAAACGATTCTGAAAAATAATTCACTTCAAATAGTTCCAACTTATTTCCTTACCACAAGTGTTTTTGAAATGGAAGGCATCCTGGGCTTGAATTACAGCATGCACCACTGAAAGAAAATTGTTTATAACATAATTTGTGTTGCATATTTGAATTTTAATTATTTTTAAGCAGCGAATCTAATTCTCTAGCTGTACCCCACTGCGGGAGTGTTCCTTTTGACTTTCTATGCATGCATCTCGTGGCTGGCACATTTTGCAGAGTGGAAATTCTAAGCCAGGTTCTATTCCGAGGCTGATGTGGGTCCTGCGTGGGCATCAGAGTGTGTGTGGGTATGTTTGGACTTGGGGCGAGTGAGCCGGGGAGCGGAAATAATGGGCGTAGACAAAAGGCACATGCCCAGGACAGGGACAGCGAAGAGGGAAGTCTACGGGTGCATTCTCCTTCCAGTCGACATGTCCAGGACCCTGTTCTCGCCAGACGTTACTGGTGCAGCCAGAGAGAGAGAGGGCTCCCCCCTGGCTCTGCTCAGCAACGAGTGGGCGTGAATAAAACCGTACACTGATTACTCGGGTAGTCTTGCTAAATGCCGGGGCTGTGATTGTCCAGCCTGAATCTCAAGTCTCTTGACCCACTAGTTTTAGCACAGTGCACTAAGCAGCAGCACCCACAGTTGCTGTCCCTGACACGGGGTGCTGGGGCAGGTGCCAACCCATGCAGGCGCCAACCACGCAGGTGCAAGGATGGGCCGCGGCTCCGACAGCAGCGTGGCCGCCCAGGTGCTCCTGTTAAGCAATCTGAGGCCCGTTCCACCTGACAAGACTCTGAGATGGTGACCAGTTTTTTTTTGTCTTTTTTTTACTCCCCCCATCCCGCCCCCCGTAGGACTGGTGTGCAGAGAATGTCATAATAAAAGGAAACCAATGGTGGCCCAGTGGTTAAGTCTCAGCCTTACCACTGTGACGACCCCCTGAGGCAGACCGAGTTCCATCCCCCGCCAGGACGCAACCCACATAGCGTAGACCTCTCCTGTCTCCCCGCTGCTCCCCTTAGTCCATCTGCCTGTCCTGCTCCCCACTCTGTCTCTGGTGAGTCCTCTCACACCCCTCACCTCTGGCCTACACCCCAGCTCTTGTATGCATAAATAAGTATTTTTAATAATATATCGAACAATTTGGAATAAGAATGTTGAATACTTTTGCTTCCCAGACCTGCTTCTCTATAGAGGTTCAGTGTCCCATCTTTCCTACTTTTGTGATTGTTTCTTCACATTTCTGCAAATTTTCATATCCTTAACTCATTTGTTGCAGATTTTTTAAAAAAATTTTAAAGATTTATTTATTTATGCATACAGAACTGGGGTACAGAGATGCAGGGGTGGTGAGAGGATACACCAGAGACAGAGTGGGGAGCAGGACAGGCAGATGAACGAAGTACACTGCTGACGGGAGCAGCAGGCGGGTCAGGAGAGGTCTGCCGCGCCCTGTGGGTCACCTCCGGGGCGGGAATCGAACTCGTGCTGAAGTGGCTTTAGCTTCTTAGTGCTGTGCTGTAACCCGCTGCACCACAGCGAGGGCCTGTTGCATATTTTTAATTGAGAATGTATTTCAAGTTTTGGTAAAATTCTGTCGGTGTCACAAAGCTCCCTGTAAACATTTGCTATTCTACTATCGATCAGCCCAAGGTTATTTTTAGAAGATATATAGTGAAATATTTTCTCTGCTATGGTACAAGCATATAACGTTTGAGATCTTCAAATGACTTCAAGTGTTCAACTCGTGTTCCTAGTCTGCCTCCTGGTCTAGTGTGCCATTGTCCATTAAGACGTGCCAGTGACCTTCATTTACAGGATAAAGAGGCCGGCAAGTCCCCAGGTACCACTATTCAGCAACCTGTTCCTGGGTAGTCAGTAGCTTCATTTTTCTTTCCCTCTTTTCATTTAAAAAGTGGTGAAAGAGAAACACTTCTCGCTGCCGGGGGCTGTATTTCCTAAGTCTTCATTAAGTCAGGGAATGGGATCAGTGTCTACATGATTAAAGAGGTAAGTATTTACAAAAAGAAAAACTAGTCAAGGTGGTGCTCATAGAAATCAGACACTGCCATTAAGCAAAACAGTGGCAGTAGGCTTATGTAAATGCGAGGCAGTTTTATGATGACGTGTATGAGGACGTGTGACATTCTGGTGAGCTCTCAGAGCTCGAAGTTTGAGGGTATCCTCAAACTATGTAAAACTATTTTATCCCACTCGTCTTTAGCCTTGCAAAGTTCTCTGTACTCTTTCAGAAGCTAGAAAACAAGTCATGATTCCTAGTGAAAGGTGACTGCATCCCAGTGAAACATGTCCTGCTAGAGCTTGCAGCCAGGTGAGGCGTGAGTGGCCCAGGCAGAGCGCGATGGCAGGATCCCTCCAGGCCTGTGTTTGACTGGCCTTCAGGAATCTGCCCACGGCCTTCCAAACCCTTTCCCATGTCAGTATGCCTGAAAAACCACATGGAGCGAAAAGTTTGATCAAAATATATTTAAAACAAGCAAGAAAAATAGTTTTGGCCTTAAGGATAACTTTCATCATTCCTTTAACCAAGTAGAGATAAATGATACGTATAATGATGTCAAGTACCAACTTATAAAAGATGTGATCAATCAGAAAACAAAGAACAAGAAGACTCCTTTTTTTTTTTCAGAAAAATGTATTTGCAATTCAAATGTTCATATAAAAAGCATCAGTTTTAAAAAGTTCATAGATGTGTGTTTTTAGAAGTGCTGTGTGTTTCGCCATTCATTGCAATTACATTCCAAAAGGCGCGGGGTGGGTGGCCCACGCTACCTGTCTTAAGCTCCTGTCACACTGAAGTCACTCTCATCACCACCTCCCCGGAGCTGTTGTCTTCTGACAAGTCTTCATGTGTCCGCATCCGGTTGAACAGATGTAACAACATGTAGCCGCACTGAAAGCGGGGGGAGGTGAGCTGCGTAGGGTGCACCAAGTTCCTGTTCCGCAGCGCCGTCAGGGGCAGCCACAAAGTCCTGCCTGTGGAAGACTCTCCCCGGCTGCTTTCTTCAATGTCGGTTGCTTTGTCGTAATTTAACACGTCCCAGTGCAAGTTAACAGCTCTCCAGCGTTTGAAGACTCTGTACACGGCGGCTCCTTCGTGGACAATGAGACCTGCAGTCCAGGGGAGAGAAGGAATGTAGGGGATGTTATTTTGCTGTCAGCAAGGGATGAGAGAAGTAATTCATTCTGTGTATGAGGATGAGCATCATAAAAAATACAGAATCATAAGATACTATCGTTGGTGGCAAATGGTGCCCACAATCACAATCAATATTCAAAGAGGAAGAAGATGCGAGCAGAGGAGAGGTACGTGGATGCAATGTCCCTGCTCCATCCTGGATGATAGTACAAGGTCAGGCGTCTACACTGCTTTAGGAGAATGATTAGGTTTATTCATTCACTCAACGCGCTTCCTGGGTGCCCATGATGAGCCCAGCAATGAGTTGGGGGCTTGGGCCCAGCCGGCAACTTAATCTGGGAAAAAGACATTAAAGTCACTGCCATCTCCCCAGTTCTCAAAGCCACACCTGGCACACTCCTCCGCAAGGCGGTACCAAGCTGACCGCGAGCCCCCGAGAGCCTTCCGGGAATCACCTCAGTGAGCCCTCTCCACCGCCCAAGGAACCTGCTCGAAAGAGCCCCCACGCACAAACACCGAACTTGCTCAGAGCTGACAACTGCTGATGGCGGGGCCGGCACTCGACCCAGGCGGCCTCAGGGCCCTTGTCACGGTGAACCCAGATGACCCCACATTTCACGGACACTCGCAAAACAAGAAACGCGTGGACTCGACCGGCGACCCAGCACCAGACATGGCGCCTGACCCTGGCTCCCTCTTCTCCCTCCTCCCACTGTGTTGTCCAAAGCTTTTGACTGTGTGGCTCTCCCTTAGCTCACACACCAAGGAGCCCTGGGGAGGCCCCTTCAGAGCGAGAGTGAGGAGAGACGCCTTTCTTTCAACAGGTTAAATTCCAGTGGAAGTCTGCGGTGGGGATCCTCAGGTGGGGGGGGGGGATCCTCAGGTTTTCACAGCTGGGCCCTCCAGGTGAGTTGAGCACTCTTTAGGGACCTATTTGCAAGGAGCAGATCCCTTCCCCCAGCCTGTGGACTCCGGGTATAGGCTCCAGAGAAACTCACCACTGTGAGCAAGGACGCATGTTCCAAAAATGCTAATTGTGTAACAGCTTGTATTTGAGGAAAAAATGCAAATCATCTCCAGGCCCACCCTGCGCAGGACGACGGGTCGTCGGGGCTACTGGGAGGGGACAGAAGCGCAGGTGCTGGCAGGGTCAGCTAAAGCAAGACTGGACATCCCCGAGTCACAAGGGGAAAAGAACGGCTCATCATTGATGAGAAAGACGGCACGTTTCTACAGGCACAAATATATCTAGATGAATGTATCTATGGTAAAAGCATGAAAACATGCTGAAATAATAATCGTGATGTTTATAAAAGCGGAGAGAGAAGAGAAGAAATGAGATCAGGCTTCCAGGCAGCTTTCCGCGGTCTCCTTAAGGTTGACCTCGTTTTTTTGTTTTTTAAAAAATTTATTTTATATATGCCTACAGAACTGGGGTACAGGTCAGAGGTGCAGGGGTGGTGAGAGCACTCACCAGAGACAGAGTGGGGAGCAGAACAGGCAGGCAGATCGACAAAGCACACTGCTGAGTGGAGCAGCGGGAGACAGGAGAGGTCTGCCGCGCCCTGGGGTCACCTCCGGGGCTGGCGGGGATCGAACTGGCGCTCAAGCGGCTGTGGCAGCTCTCAGTGCTGCGCTTTAACTCGCTGAGCCACCAGGGAGGGCCACCAGGGAGGGCCATGACCTCGTTTTTGAGCTGGGAGGTGCTAACAGAAATGCCTAATATATTATTCTGTATAATTTTTGTGTCTGAATAATTCAGAATTTCAAAAAGAACCGAGAATTCATCTGGAAAAAATGGATCTAAGTTGGACTGGGAAGTGGACAACACAGTGGAGAGCAAAGAGGAGGGCACTGTGCTTGGGGGGTGGGGTGCCAGGAGGGGCACAGAGGGACAAGGGCAGAAACTTGCTACAGGAAATGTCAACCGCAATTGTTCTGTTGGACGGGAGAGTTAGGGCCCTCAGGTCAAGGCTGGTGGGCCAGAGAACTGAATGGATAGCTGGAACCTTCCCAAGGAGCTGCAAGCAAGGGCCCATGCCTTGTGGGGGAGACTATTCATTGTTCTGTCTGCTAAAGCACAGTCAGATGGGTGATCCAGACACCCAGGCTATGAGAAAATCACACCAACCTAAGAGCAGAACTTAAGTTCCCTTGCTTTTCTACCAGGAGATAAACCTCTGACACATAAACTTAGTAGCTTCCCAAACATATTTTCACAGGTCACTAAAAGATGCATATGGGCTAATAAATAAAAACATTTTAAACCCAGTAAATGTACATTCAAAAAGAGATGTAAAAGTTCTATTAAAAATAGCTATTCTAGGCCCTCCCTGGGGGCACAATGGGTTAGGACGCAGCAATGCAAGCTGGCAGCAGTTGCTTCAGCATGAGTTCACTCCCCAGCCCCGGAGGTGACCCACATGGCACAGCAGACCTCTCCTGACCTGCCCACTGCTCCCCTCGGCAGTGTACTTCATCAACTTGCCTGCTCTGCTCCCCACTCTGTCCCTGGTGAATATTCTTACCACCCCAGCACCTCTGGCCGGTACTCCAGTTCTGTATGTACAAATAAATACATCTTTTAAAAAAAATAGCTATTCAAATCATCATTTTGGTCAGCTTCTTTTTCCTAAGGAATAATTGGAATTGACCCAACTAGCTAGATGTTTTTGGGAAACAGCCAGAATTAGACATCAGGATTACCAGATTTTAATTGATGATTCTATTATAGGTTTCTGAAATCCCCCAGGGCCAATGATTTACCTCTCCCACTAATATTTTGTTCTCTTTAAAATGCAATTGGAATACCTAATCTCCAGGAGAGATTACCGTAGGAGAGTATGAAGGACGGGATGAAGACAAATTGGTATTCAGCAATAATAAAGCACTCAGATTTCCTCAGAGATAATAACTAAATAAACACAAGACATTATTATTAATTAAAAAAATCAATAGTGGGTCTACACGGAGACGACCGTTCATTCACACTACTCCCATGACCGTTACCAGCTGAAACAGACCCACTCTGGCCAGCGCAGAGACAAGCAGACACTTTCTCCGGGGAAACCATGCATTTCCCAGGAACCAATTCGTTTTTTTATTGATTTCCTTTGAAAGGCCAGAAATCAGATCACTTACTGCAGCTTAAAGCCACTTTCTGGAAATGCATACCCGGCAGCTCCTTTCTAAATACATAAATCTACCTAATGTGTGAAATCAACCCCACCGGTCTTTATAGTGCATTTTGAGCTGAATTTAAATTAAAGCGAGAGCTCCCACCAGTGCGCACATGGACCCAGCCCTCCTGAGGACAGAGCCCATGAGCAGCCAGCTTCCGAACAGCATTTCAAGGCATGAGGCTCAGATTTTATTTCCCTCCCCACAAACTTTCAGAATTGCTCCTTACTCATTACTTTCCCGACATCTGAGGAGCCCAGCATTAAGGTCATCCTCGGTAAAGTACGCGTCCCCCCTTTCTTCCTTAAATTTTCTGGGCTTCAGGCAAGTGCCTGGACTGGTGGTTATGAAAAGACAACACAGCAGTCACAGAGGCCCTGGGCTGAGGGAGGCTTCAGTTCACACGCTGGAGAGGAGCCTGCCCGTGGCTTCCCGCCTCCCTCCCCACTGGGGATGGGCCCTTCACAGAGACCTCCCATCATCCTCCACGAGGCAGCCTCCACCTTGCAACAGCACTGGCGAAACCTCACAGTGAATTTGTCATCCTGGCACCTCCAGTCACGTGAGGACCTTACCTTTCCACTGGAATCACTATACATGGAGGGAAAGGCAACGACCATGGCTGTAGAATGTAAATATCAGCTACTTAGGATGCTGGTCACAGAGTTGACGGCTTGGCTGTCGATACGGTGATTAGTGGGAATTTAGGGTTTTGAAAGCCAGAGGAAAGATGCACTTAGTTTGTATTTCTTGCTAACAAACATTTAATTGGAGTCGCTCTTACTGGAGTGCCAAGCAACATTTCTGCTAGGGAATAATTTAAAAAAAAAAAAAAAACAAAGCAGGTTTCAGTAGTGACTGCTTTGCCTGAAATAAAAGCAGGGTGTTTATATAAGTAAAGCACATCGCAAATTTTTGAAGTGCTGTATTGGTTGAAAGTCTTACCTGGTAATAGAAGGAGAGCTAGTCACCCAAAGCAATGACGGGGGAGACCATGAGGGTACACACAATCACGTGTGTACACACACCACACGCTTCCCCCACAGACCACACGCCATGTGTGTGTGCACCACGCAGACACACCCCCGTCCCCACACACCACCCTCACCCCACACCAATGGCGTGTTGTCATTAACAGAAACACGCAGCATTTATGATCAAACACAAGTACACTTTGATGTTCGCTACCAAACCCCCGGAAAACACCTTCATTTCCTGTGTTACTAGCGTCAGCTTCGGTTCAAACAGGTTTCAGTTTTTCACAACTTAAAAGCTGCATGTTTATTCAGCACGAGGACTTTGCACGTGTGACTTTCATCTTGACGGTAACACTGCAAATACTGTTACGGAACAATTTCACAGGAATTGCTGGAGGAAATTGAGGCCTAGGGAGATCTGCCATCCTGTCCAACCTCGTGAGCATGTAAGAATCAGAGCCGAGGATGTAGCGCAAATGTGCCCTGATGTAAACTTGGGCTTTGACAGCCCCGGCCACGCTAGCTTCCCAGCAGGTGGAGGGGAGGCCTCCGGGCGGTAGCTAGAATCCTATTAGCTGGTGGGAGTCGGGAGGCCGTGACGGAGCGAACGCACTTGGGAGAAAGAGACACGCGATCTCTCTGTGTTCACACTAAGGACGGCCACATGAAACCGTAACAGGGAGATGCCAGAAGCCAAGGAGAGATGACACTGGACTGCCAGCACCTTGGCCTCGGACTTCCCAAGGAGGACATGAAGGTTTGCTACTGAGGCTCCCTGGAGCATGCATTTGGTTATAGTAGCTCGAAAAGACTCG